AAAACAGGCGCCTAAGACGACTGAAAAGCGGAGTTTCCTTCTTTCGTTCTGCCGGGTAAAATCAATTACTTTAGGCGACGTTTGTAGACTAACCTAACTCGTACCAACGTCCGCATGTCGCGCTAGCTAGGATGGTAGGCCTAGCCTTGAAGGGACGAAGGTCCCAATGAAAAACAACGTCGCTCCTTGATAGCTAACATTGTCTATTTAACATCACAATAATTCATTATTAGACCTATAGTTGTTTTTTGAATTGTACTCCACAAATCCATACATGCCAAGTTTGAGTTTGGCTGTGGATGGAGATTTGCACAGGAACGAAACAATTTAGGCGTGGGTCGAGGGCCCACCTAGGGCCCCGGAAATTTTTAGGCCTAGATGCTCTCTAGTGCACTCTGAGCAGATCTCTTGTGCTCAAATTAAATCTTAAAAATGGGGTAATATATACTAACATTTTTTGAAAAATAAAATTCTATAGCTTTATTTCAGTGTTAAAACTCTTAACTTTATTTATTTTTTTCAACAAAATTTTCAAAATACTCAAATACACGTTTTACATTGAATTTGGATGATGCAACAATGATGATAAGCGCAGCCAAGACCCTATTTTCGCCGGTAAAACCATCGTGGATTCTGGTTCGCTGAAAGTATTGATATGCATGATCGCGGTCGTAAAGTTAAAATAGAAATGACGTAATGTGTACAGCACCACCAGTGTTAATTTTACACGAATACATTGTTTACTATCGGAACGGCATGTATTTTCGCGAAAATATTTTATATGCCTTATAAAACTACAGAATTGTCACGTTTTGGATATTTTTGTATTAAATTGTGGGTTTTAATAAAAAATCTTGAGATTATTAGAAAAGCTGGAGATTTTAGGCTAGTGGCGGGAGAGCTGGAGGTTAGGGCGAAAAGCGGGAGTCTCCCGCCAAATGCGGGAGACTTGGTAGGTATGCAAATCTCAGCCGATAACTCGTTAACGTCTCGTATCTATTGTCGTGACGTCATGGCTCGCTGGCTCACACCAATTTAACCTCCTTGCTCACACACTTGTGATGTCTCGCACTTGTGATCAAATAACACGCTGGCTCGCACTTTGGCAACACTCTTCGGCAGTCAACTCGCCCCTAGAAAACCCGCCCTTGGAAAATTGCCCCATAAAAAAATGTACACTTCCTAGACCATGCAGTCTTCAAAATAAAAATTGTAACCTTTGGTAATTAACTACATTTTCCACATACATAGAAATTTTTGAAACTTTATTTAAAAAAACCCTAAACCATAATTCACTATAGACACTTTTTGACAAAAATGAAAAATTACGACTTTGTTACCCAATGAGAAGTGTTCTAATATAGACAATGGGTCGTGTCTCATATTATTTGTTATATTTTTATTATTCATTATTTTCACTTGACTCGCATAAATAATTTTGTTCGAAGAATATTAATATGCAGTTGTACTTCGGAGCACTTCACTTGCAATTTGCAATTTCTAGTCTAAAGGATGTACTCATGACTAGATCCAAGATCTCGTCATCTAATCATCTTAAGGATGTACACATGACGAGATGAAGGATCTCGTCATCTCATCATCTCTTATGAGGGATGTAGACATGACGAGATCCAGGATCTCGTCATCTGATCATTTCTTCTTAGGGATGTAGACATGATGAAATCAAGGATCTCGTCATCTGATCATCTCTTCTAAAAGATTTAGATATAACGAGATCTAGCATCTCATCAAGTGATCATCTCTTCTGAAAAATGTAGACATGAGGAGATCCAGGATTGCAACATTTGATCTTCTTTCCTACAGAATGTAGACATGACGAGATAATTATCTAGACATCTGGAAGGTCACTATAAGCTTCCGTATCCTGGTGCCTGCATTCAGTGTTTTACAAGTCTCTTATTCCGTCTCTAACTTAACTTTTTCGTTGGTGGCGCTGTCCAGAATGAGAAAAATAATTACAAAAAAGGGCAATTCTAGACTTGAGGGTGTATTCGCTTTGCTCACTTATTTAAGTATGTGCAAGGACTGACTTAGTCCTTGTTATGTGAACGTCGCATTTAGTTTTGATAAAAAAGAACAATATAACCACTTAAAGAAGATAGGATGCATGTTATGTGTCCATTTTTTTTTCTTTTTTCTATACAGTAGGTAATATCAAAATGCAATGGTTCGAGATCATGTTTAATAATTTACAATAATAGAGCTGCTAAGGTTGAATTTCAGGTAGAATCGTGCACTTCTTGAAAAAAGCATGAAACTTCCCACAGTGATACTATGACACCAAAAGATCATTAACAAAAATAGACCCCAAAAAATAACGCCTCCTAATGGCCACCATCTTGAAATCCAATGTGGCTGCCAAAATATTTGATTTTATAGCCAATATATTCATATCTACAGCACATTTCATTGCCAATTGAAGATCATTACCCATGTTTTCAATATCAGGGAGTGTCATGCAATTATCAGAAATTATGTAAGATGACGCCGCCATATTGGATTTCAAAATGGCCTCCATATTAATGTATTTTTATCTTCATATCTACAGTACCTAGCACTGTCAATCAAAGACCGTTGCCCATGTTTTCGATATCAGGGACAACGTACCATGCAGCCATCAGAAATTATGTCAGAAGACCACCATATTAAATTTCAAAATGTCCGCCATCTTGAAATTTAATATGGCCGCCAAAATAATTACTTTTAGCCTATGTATTCATATCATTGCAGCACAAATCACTCCAACTGTAAAGATCATTACCCACGTTTTCAATATCAGGGAGTGTCATGCAATCATCAGAAATTATGTCAGGTGGCGCCGCCATATTGGATTTCAAGATGGCCGCCAATTGTTATTTTTGTCAATATCTTATCTACAGCACCTAGCACTGTCAATCACCAATAATCACCATGACAACATACAACTTTTATTATGTCGACTTGTCAAGATAACCTATCTCGTCATGGCAACAAAACATTTTTAGTATGTCGACTTGTCAAGAAAATCTATCTCGCCATGACAACATACAATTGTTATTATGTCGACTTGTCAAGATAACCTATCTTGCCATGACAACATACAACTTATATTATGTCGACTTGTCAAGATAATCTATCTCGCCATGACAACATACAATATGTATTATGTCGACTTGTCAATATAATCTATCTCGCCATGACCACACAATTTTTACTGTCGACTTGTCAAGATAATCTATCTCGCCATGACAACATACAATTTTTATTATGTCGACTTGTCAAGATAACCTATCTTGCCATGACAACATACAACTTATTTTATGTCGACTTGTCAAGATAATCTATCTCGCCATGACAACACACACTTTTTACTATGTCGACTTGTCAAGATAATTTATCTCACCATGACAACATACAACTTTTATTATGTCGACTTGTCAAGATAATCTATCTCGCCATGTCGACATGATATGTATATTATGTCGACTTGACAACATAATTATCTTGACAAGTCGTCAAGTCGAATGGCACTTAGGTGCTTCCGTACAATGATAATTAGGCCTAGTTATATTAAATTTAGCGTTTCGCAACTTCATTGGCGCTCCATATATTTGTTGAAAACAAACCGCGACCGAAATGAAGGGCGACCGAAATGATATGTATTCGATCAGGTCACCCAGGATAAAGAAGAAATAAATAAAAAAATACAATATGTTGTAGTAATAAATACATATAGTCAAAAAGAAAAAATTGGCGGTCTAATAGGAAAATCGCACAAGATCCTTTTCGCTCGAAATGGCATTCGCTCGAAGCCGCTCAATCTAACATTCGCTCGAAATGTTGCATTCGCTTGTATTGTAAAGAACGTTGATTGGTTCCCGTCGGGAGGCTAGGCGAGGCGGCCATTGTATTAATGTTGTTGTCTAAAGCGTAGGCCTAGGCTAGGCTAAACGAGTTACTGTAATATTATAATGAGTAAGTCTCAGCAAGTACAGCAACCAAGTCTAACCACGGAAGAAACAAAAGGTAAGCACCTAGCCTAGTCTAATTGCTATTGGAAATAAATAAGGCATATATATATATAGAATTATATATAATATATATACATATATATATATATATATATATATATATATATATAGGTGCTAGAGCCTAGCCTCTCTAGGCCTAGTCCGCCTCGAGATAGTTTAGTACAATAGAATAGTAGTAGGCCTAGCCTAGGACCAGGTAGCCAGGCCCCTAGCTAGGCGATGCTACGATAGTTAAGTTTAGGATGACATAGGCCTACGCATGGAGTCGAGTAGCCTTGTAGTTAGGAATTGAAAGACCCTGGCTGTCACCTATGAAATGCACAAATTAATAATTATGAAAGTCACAGACAGATGAACAATTTGGATCGAAGGTCTAATGTCTGTCCAACACAAGTTCACAAACAAATTACAAACAACTTTTTAAGTTTAACAATAAATAAATATTTGTATCTTCTAAAACAATAATCTTCTCAAACAAACAATACAAACATAACATTGATCATTTACTGAGTAGGTTAGAATAGGCCTAGGCCTAGAATTTACGAATTTTTCGAGCTCAACATCGGAATTTAAGGTCAGAATATTGATTCAATAATTGAAATACATTCTTTGTTAAGTTTATACACATTTAATAAAATCCACCAAAATAAATTGAAAATACAATTGTTATATTGATGAAGTTGTTTACTTTTCACAAACATGTTGCAGTTTGTGGGGATTCACCATTTAGGCCTATGCCCTAGATCTGCGTTGAAGAAAACATCTAAGGAGAGAAGAAATTGTTCTAAAATTTACGCAGAAATTGAAAAGGAATGGATACCACATTGGAAAAAAAATGTCTACCAAAATCTGCATGATTTTTTCAACTACTATATCTAGATAGCATACTAGAAACTACCAGTATAATTAATATAGTATACAGGGGTTTCCCTTAAGGTTTTTTTTAACTAGCCAAGTGGACCAGTAAACTAATATTTTTACTGGTCCTCAATCCCTTTTACTAGCCACTATCTTGCCAACTTCAAAAGGTCCAAATACCATATTTGTGACATGCTAATCATGCTGGCCATCATGAAGTAACACTGACAGAATACAGAAAAATTGTTTTGTTGTCTCTGTATGAAATTATGCCGCGAAATATAAATACAGGAAACATACGATGTTCAGTACGATGTTTGGTTTTCCGGAAAGATCGGTTTTTGGAACATTTCTATTGAATCCTTTCCGAATAAGGTAGGCCAGTTAGGGCCTAGCCTAGACGCTAATATAGGCTTAGCATAGCCCAGTCAGTGAATTCGGTATGACTAGCCTACGAAAAGTTAACATATTATCTAACATCCCTTATTGAACATATAATACGTACAGTACCTGTTGTTTAGCTGTGTGCACAGCTAATTGGTTAATTTTTTTCATGGGGTCATGTGGCTGGGCAAAAATCCCATGTGCTTGGCTGTCATGACGTCAGATCGCCCAAAGTTTCATAGTGCGTGACAGCTAGCTTGCTGAATTTTTAATTAAACAAATTTATTAAAATAAATAAGAAACCCTCATGGTTTTGTTTTAGAGTCAAATCTAAAATAAATCTTATTCAAATTTAAATATCATTCTCTGCAAATTTCCTCCGTAATTAGTAACGTTTTTGCGGAATGTGAGTGGAATCTAATGACATACCAAATCCGAAATAAACGTCTACTGAAAAAGATCCGTCGTAAAAACAATTGCTTTGAGTTCCTTTTTCATTTCAGGTTGATTACAATCGATTTTTAAGTATTCATAAGGCGATAATGCACTTTATTAAAACAATGGAACTATCACTTTATCTAACAATTTTACTGGTGTGTCATTTTAATTAATAGATAATCTCCATAACAACGATATTGGGACTATGCTTTGTACGGAAATCGTTGCGTTATTTATTAACTTTTTGTCCCACATTGCATTGTGGGATGGATACATGACACGGATGTTTTAACTTCACGGTGCTCACACACATAGGCGTAGATCCCGGGGGGGATGGAGGGGATATATCCCCCCCCAATATTTGACAAGGGGGGGATGGTCCATTGTATCATCCCCCCCAATATTTTAAATATGTATGGGATAAAATGGAGCTTTACACACTTCAAAAGACTGTCGCAGAAATAATTTGCGCTGTCTTATGCGCTTACAAAGATGAAGATTAGCATAATGTATTAATGTTGATAACAAAATTATTTTATCTGGTACCAATCTAAGCTCTTCTTTCCGTAGACGTTAGATGTGCTTGCAAAGAGAGCCACATTTCACGTTGAAAGGTGTGTACGACATCAGTAATGTTATATCAATTCCAAGAATATTTAAGGTTATATCGGTTGATGAGGAATTTATTGATTAGGCCTAACAGCAAATTGCATCAATTTATTTTGCAAAAACAATGTTTCCAGCTTCAGAGGGGGCACATCTCCTGTCCGCACAAGGGCACACATTGGCGCTAACACCAGGCGCGTAACTGGGGTCTTGGGTCAGAGTGGGTATATATTTTTTTTATTTTTTTATTTCAACCATCTTTAAAGAGGGTAACCCTTCTTGTTTAGCCCAGTAGGTTAACTGACATTCAGGGGCCCTCTTTAATCAAATTAAAGAACAGTACAAACAACATCATCACAACGTAATAATAATAATAATAATAATAATAATAATAATAATAACAATAATAATAATAATAATAATAATAATAATAATAATAACATACAATCCTCATTTCCTGGTTAGTAATTTACCATACCCACCCCACCCCACCCCACTCCCCATATAGAAAACAATACGACATAGGGCTTATCTTATTTATAATATAGGCCACACACGTGTGTTTGAAACTAAATATAAGCATTTTCATCATGGTTGTATTTATTACAAACATACATTCTTTCACCATCTATACACATTGAGGCCCTTCTTTTAGGTTAAAATGATCTATCTTAAATTTGTCTTTCTTGAGTTTGGGACTATTATGTGTTTAAATAACTTAAAAGGATAAAACTAAAAAAAGCCCTAAAAAATGCGCGCCAAGCGCGCAAAATATTTTTGTGTTTTTAATCCTAATTTCGTCGGAATTGATAAA